ACAAAACGACAGTTTTCCGTTTCCTGCTTTCTTCCCGGAGAGGCAGGCGGGAGAACAAAAAATGCGGCAGCTCCTGTTTTTCCATCTGCACCCAGCGGCTGTTTCTCCGGGGATATCACAGCTTGTGTGTTCCAGTCTCTGTTGTGGTTGGACGGGACGGGGGACCTGAGATGACGCAGGAACACGGCATCGGCTGTGCCACCGGGGAGCGTCTGGTCACTCGAGCTGCCTCTCTGCCAGCGACGCAGAGATACCGGCGCAGGTACTCGAGGTGGTCCCTCTCCCCGTCCTCCCTGAAATGCACCTCAGCTCCCTGGCAAGCTCCCATGGCCGGCAGGCCCCTGCAGCCGCAGCGGCGGCACCGAGAAGGGCTAGGGAGCGAGGGCTCCCAGACAGTGGGCAGAACGCGCCGAGCCCCACGCCAGACCGCAGGGAAGGGACCCTCCTCCCTTCACGCAGAGCGGGAGCTCCGAAGCAGGGGTGACGCGTCCCCGTTGCCACCTAGACAGGCTGAAGAGCCGGGTCCTCGCCCTCTGGCCTCTCCCCGCACGAGTGACACTGTAAGGGCCATCAGGCCTCAGCCCCTCACGTCGCCCCGGAGGAGGGGCAGGCCCAGGCCGGGTGCGTGAGCCCCCTGGTTCCGGGAACCCCTCCTCCTCCTGAGAGGAAGCCGAGAGTTTGCGGAACAAAAGACATATTTCAGGGCGCTTTGAAAGGCGTGTATTTCGGTTCTTCGCGAGTGTCCTCCAGACAGTTTGCGAAACTAATGACAATTGCGGCTCGGTGGCTTTTTGAAGAAATCCCCGTTTCCTCCCAGGAAAGGCTTGGCTTCTGGGACCTCTGCGGGGCCGCAGGCCCTGGGTCGGGAGGGTCCCGCGGGCCAGAGGCGCAGACCTGAGGGCAGGGGAGGAGCCACTCGGCGGAAGCCTGTGAGGGGGGGGGGGGGGGGGGGGGGGGGGGGGAGGGTCAGGTTGGAATGGGGAGGCGGAGGAGACTCATCCCAGTGACCATGAGTCCCCCTCCGCAGGGAGACAAGGGAGGCTGCCAAAGGGTATCCTGTGGACTTACCTGGAGAGGCAGGCAGCCACTGCCCGGTCATGGGGGGTCCGTCAGTGGTCTCGCCCGTGAGTGGAGTCTCGGCGGCTGAGCGACGGCTACCTGAAAGCGTGACTGCCAACCCTGCCATTGTTATGGCCCGAAGGAAGCGACATGGCAATGGCCAGGCGGCGGCTGGCGGCGGCAGCCTTGTATGGAAACCCAGCGCGCCGTCCCAGCAGGCGCAGCAGCGCCCAGCAATCGCGTCTCAGGCTACCCGTCTTCCAGAAACCTAACCCGATGCACACCCTCTCTGGTATGAAGCAGCCTTGTCTAAGGGCCCAGCCTTCTGAGAGGCGCCAGACAACCTCCCCTTGAGGCCACGCCAGCTCGAGCGCCCGGCTGTGAGCATCCTACCTCTCGCCCTCGCGCCCGGAGAGGCAGAAGACGGGAGGCTCAGGGGGAAATGACCTCCCCCCCCTCGCCAGGCGCGGAGGCTGCGCCACCCCCTGCTCAAAACCCCTGGGGCAGGCAGTGAGGGGCCTCCTTCCCTGAATGCAGTTGATGGTAATGACGTGACCGGCGGGAACACCCCTCCAGCTGCTGGCGCTCAGACTTTCGGCAGTCAGCCAGAGAAGCGGCGGCGGCTGACGTCCCCGGCTGCAGTGTTTCCTTCTGGTACCACAGGAGACCACCCTTCACCTCCACCTCCCTCCCGAGGCGCGGCATGAGGAGCAACAGGGAGAGGCGAGAGGCGGGCAGGCGGAAACGATTGACGCCAGATCCGCCCGCTTCCTGCGCCTCATAGGAAGCAGAGGGTCAAATAGGAACTAGCAGAAGCCCCTTGAGTAAAGGAGTGACACCTATTGTTATCCCCTACCCATGGTACCTGGTAGGGTGACCACCCCTCCCTTAGCAGCCTTGACCAGCTCCTGCCACCCCGAGCTGGAAACTCTTTGGCATGCCGGCCTTCACCCTCTCAGGTCCCTTCTACACCTCCCAGAGTACTCCCTCGAGGCCACGTTCCCCTCAGACCATTTGGGGTGAGCCTTTTAAGCCTTGGGTGGTGGCTTCTCACTACAAAACCCCTCCTGCCTGCAGCAGGGTGGGGAATCATACCCCACCCACCCATCTGGCAACCTGCACAGGCAGGACCAACCAGAAGTCGTTCCTCCCCCTCCTCAGTAGACCTGGCCCATAAACAGAGCCTCTGGGGTTAGAGTGCCCCCCACCCCCAACCCCCTCATTTGATTCGCCTTCCTTGACCTTTTCTACATTAGAACTTAGGTCAAGAGTTCCCAGACTCAGAGTGATCCCTGGAGGGGAGTGTGGCTAAGACAATTGCTGGGCCCACCTGAGTGTCTGTGTTAAAAGGTCACGGGAGCCTTCCCCATATTCTAAGTTCAGTGCTGCTGCTGCTGGTCAGGATTTGCAGGACACTGACACAGAACTCCTCATTTGTGTCTTAGCCTGGGTTCTCCCAGAAGTGAGCCCTGACACTAGGATCTGGGTGCAAACACTTTGGAAGCTTTGTTGGTGGGGAGAGAAACAAGAAGGAAGGAGGCCCATACAGGTGTATTAGTGAGCAGATGACTGCTGGGGCCCCTTGGGAGAGGGTGCAGAGCATGTCTCAGAGTTGTCCCCGGCTGACTTGTTGTGGGAAAGGAACAGATGCTGGACGACTAATCCACAGTTCCCATCAGTCATTGGTTGAGGGCCTCTCTTGTGGGTATCAGGAACCAGCCCTCCTCCGACCTGCTCCTCACAGGAAAACACCCTAGCACAGAGGACCTCAGTTACAGCAGCAGAAGTTACCCACAGCACCTGCCACCCCCACCCAGCAGCCTAGCGAGCCATGGGGCCTCCCTAGCCTCGGGGATCTATTCCTTACCCCACTAACTGCTTCACCTGCCTATTCCCAGCCTTGCTGCTAAAGCTACTGGTGAATGTGGTTCTGGGGGGAGGGCGGGTTCCTTCCTGGGTCTCTTCTGTTCCTTTCTGCTTCCCCTCCCCCAACCCAGTGTGGCTGCTGGGCACCCTGTGGGCGAGAAGAGGGTCAGGAATTAAGTCTGGTCAGCCTGCACCCTGTTGGCAAAGACCACGGACCAATTTCCTTAATAGCGGGCAGCAGGTAGGGGCCGTCCCAGCTGCTGCCAAGGTGAGGCGCTCTGGACAGCTTTCATCTTTTTACATTAGAGGTTCTGACTTGGGAGCAGAGCCATAATCACACTTATAGGCTTGGACACAGGAAAAAGGAAAAAATAATTTTTCCGTGTCAGACACCTAAATCCTGAGGGCATCTCAGGCTCTATTTTCAGAGATCCACATTCTGTCTTCATCAAACACCTGTGCTGTGAAATCAACTGGAATTTTCTGCTGTGTCTCTTCCCACCCCTCTGCTCCCTCTGTGTGTGTGTGTGTGTGTGTGTGTGTGTAAAAAAGAGGGGGGAAGGAGGTGCTGATGGCAACACATAATGCTGGGGATTGTTTGGGGAAACAGATACGTTCAGGAACCTGGGAACCCCACTCCCATGCAGGTGTGATGTGATGAGGTTGGGGGGGACTGTTTTCTGGGCATGTCTGGGGGTGAACATGTGCCAAGCCCGTGGGACAGAGCCAGTAAAGCTCAGGTGTGTCAGTTTGAGACCTGTGGGCCAGACAGTTTGTTGCCTACCTGATAAGCCAGTCTGTCTGTCTTTCTTTCCAAACTAGCCCTGATTCATCCTGGAAGCAATATCCCAGATAAGAGATTTTATTATTTAGTCCTTGCAGGCTGTGGTCAAAGAGGTATATGCACAGAGACTTTGGGCAGGGCTTCCAAGAAAGATCTTTTTTTGTTTTGTTTTGAGAGAGTGATAGAGTATGAGCAGGGGAGGGCCAGAGAGAGAGGGGGACACAGAATCTGAAGCAGGCTCCAGGCTCTGTCAGCACAGAGCCGGATGCGGGGCTTGAACTCATTAACTCCAATATCATGACTTGAGCTGAAGTCGGCTGCTTGACCGACTGAGCCACCCGAGTGCCCCTAAGAAAGATCTTTAAAGGGACCTCCTCAGCTGGAGCACCTGGGTGGCTCAGTCGGCTAAGCATCTGACTCTTGATGTTTGGCTCAGGTCATGATATATCATGGTTTGTGGGTTTGAGCCCCATGTTGGGCCCGCACTGACAGTGTGGAGTCTGCTTGGGATTCTCTCTTCCTCTCTCTCTCTGCCTGTCCCCTGCTCGTGCGCGCTCTCTCTGTCTCTCTTTCAAAATAAATAAACTTTAAAAAAAAAAAAAAAGGATCTACTCAGCTAAGAGATGCATCCTTTTGCCCTTCCCTCTTCTTCCTGTCTAAAACATGACATGATGGCTGGAGCTCCAGCAGCTATGTTAAACCATGAGGTCCCCTAAAGGCTAGAAGATATGTGCTAAGGGTGATGTGCAAAGTGATCAAAGGAGACTGGGTGCCTGACTGACTTGGTGCAACCATCCATTCCTGTCTAGACTGCCAGCCTCTGAAATTCTACCTGAGAAAAATAAACCACTGTTTCATTTAAAGCACTGTTATCTGCGCTCTTGTCTGTAGTCAAACCTAATGCCAGGTGAAGCCAAAGGCGCGCGGCCCTCAGGTCTGGCTGGAGTAAGTAATCTCTGTTCCACTTAGAGAATTAGAATGTGTCCGTGAGACAGTGCTCTTAACCCTGGGACTTCTGTCCATTCAGGCTGCTGCACGTTCTTGTGGGGTGCAAGTGGGGAGGAATCCCCACACCCTCGTTTGGACCTTCTTTGGAAATAACGCCGCAGGCACATGTACGTGGAGGGGGGTGGGCTGTTGGTCCTCCCGACTGGCCGCTGAGGCTCACGAAGGGAACAGTCGAGTAAGAAGCAGAGAGGCAGAGAGGCCCCGAATGAGGGAGGACTTGGTAGGGTGAGGAGTGGAGGGCACAGGCAGGTTGGGGTGGCGTGGGGACCGCCGGGGACAAGGGTCACTTACAGGTGCCCGCGTGGTATTTGAGGGCGCTCACGCTGTGTCCGTGGGCTGCAAACGTGCGCACGCGCTCCCCCGTGTCTGCCAGCCAGCACTTGACCGTCCTGTCCGCGCTGCCCGAGTACACGTGCCGGTTCACAAGCTGGGGGGAGGGGGGAGAAGGGCGGGTCAGCACCAGACTTCCGGTCCTGCTGGCGGCAGCAGGCGACTCGAGGCCCCCTCCAAATCTCTCTGGCTAACAGGGGAGGGGCGTGTCCGGGTCTCCCTGGAAACCGGATGGGCAGGAAATGGCCCGGCCTGCGGGACCCACCCAGCGGCCCACTCCGGCGCCCAAGAATCCTGTCGCTTTGCCCTGGGCCAAGTCACTGACTCTGCCTGCGCCTCCCTCCGGGGGTGCAGAGCGGGCCTGTACAGCGCTCGGCACCCTAAGAGCAAGGACCACGAAAGGTTCGCGGTGCTGTCATTAGGGCTTCAGCAGCTCCCTACTGAAGAAGAGGCAGTGCCTGGGAAGGTTAACGCAAATCCACCCGCGGCCACGGCCAGGCGGCCCCAGGGGTTTCCGGCTGAGGAAAGGGCTCCCGGGGCGGGGCTCTCACTCTGCACCTTTGCACGCAGAGGTGCATATAGGAAAGAGAAAGGTCTAGAGGTACCCTGACTGGCCGCAGTTATGTCCAAGGTAGATCTTTGCCCCCCGGGGGCCGTCCCTGGGTCCTGACCTCCTGCGCCTGGGGCTGCCCTGGTGGGGAGGGAGGAGGCCCTGGAGACAGGCTCCCCCACTTCCCGCCCGCCCTGGCTCACTAGAGTGGCATTCCCAGCCCTGCTTGGTGTGGCGGGAGGTAAGGAAAGGGCCTGGGAGAGAAGGGAAGGGGCTTGGGGAGGCCCCCTCCCAGGAGCACCCCCTGCCAAGGTAGTGTACTGGCCCAAGGAACTGCAAAGAAAGACTATTAAAAGAACCCTGCATATTCCTCTAGACAAAACCCCATGCAGCACCTCTGGGTAGCAGTCATGCAGAGAAGCGAAAGTTGGGCGAGGAGGGCAGGCGAGAAGCTCTGGAGAGAGCTCTTCCTGATGGTGCCAGGGCCCAGAGACCCCTGGGGGCGCAGGAAAGATGAGGCCCTTCCCAAGGCGGGGTGGGGGCAGCAGGCAGCCGGCCTGGAGCATGTACAGGCTGGCCACCGGCCTCCTCCACCTGCCCCAGGCCCTCCTAGCTTGAGAACCCGATCCCGGCCACGCTCTGGGCCGCTTTCCACTCCGGTTCCCACCGCTGACCCGGTTTCCCCACGTCATCTCCCAGTTTAAATCCCAGAGGACAGGACTCTGGCTAGCCCAGGTTCTAGTTCCACCCGCAGCCACGGCACAGGTCAGACCTGGCTTTGGGCCACTCACTGCAGCACAGGTGGTGGGACCTCGAGGAATACACTCGGCCTCCTGGAGGCGGAGGCTGCCGCTGGTTTCCGGAGGACACAAGGGGGGACACAGACAGGGCCCCTCTTCCTGGCCCTGCCCTACAGTCCTGATAGTTTACGACTGGCCCCGGCTTCTGGCCTCTCTTATTGTCCCCTCCCCAAGAACAGGGACACGTGTGACACCCGCATGCCCAAGGGGCTCCAGCAGGGCTCAGGACTTCACTCAGTCTTCTGGCTATCTGCAGCACCCTGCAGGGGCTCAGCTCCTGCCCATGTTCCAGCGTCCCTATGCTGTCCTCTTTCTTTGTGGGCAAGCCGCCCCCGGGATGCCTCCTCACGCCGCCCACCACACTGTGCCTGCCCCCTGCCCCGTGTTTCCTGACCATTCCCCGGCATCTGTCGCTGTCCCCAGCATCCGCGGCTGCGTGCCGCTCAGCCCACGCAGAGGAGGTGCTGAGACTCCGCGGCTGCCCCGGCGGAGGGAAGCTATCTCTTGCTCCCCACGTAGCGTGTCCCAACAACGTGGGGCCTGCCACGCTGTGTTTAAAAGTGACCAAGCAGCACAATTTCAGAGCACAAATCCGAGGCCAAGGAAACGCTCCAACCCTGTCGTCCTTGGCGGCGTGAGGCCTCGCCGTTCCCTTGGGCTGCTTTCCCGGGGGGATGCCCACAGGGAACAGCGGGGCAGTTTGGGGAGGCCAGAGGAGGCCAGAGGCAGATGGGGAAGCAGACAGACCCTGACGAGGGCCTGTCACAAAGGACACAGGTCCTGCAAGACCTCCCTCAGCCAAGACAGCTCCGAGGGGGTGGGGCTCATGGGCCACGCCCCTGCCACGGGATCCACCCAAACAGGCGGCAGGATGAGGCTTGCGAGCCTGGGACTCTGCGTGGAGGCCCTGGGGTGCACGCCTCTCCCCCCTCAGCTCACAGCAGCAAGTGCACCAGCACGGGGGTTAGAGGAGCCACCGGGCCAGCCTGCGGGGCACAGCGGGGCTCTGGACAGTCCACCTCCTGGGCAGAACTGCTAGAAGAGGCCCCCTGACTCCCCCACGGTTCAGGCCCCGTCGCACTTTTCTAAGCTGCTGGTCACGAGGACAGGTGACGTGTTCAGGTACCAATCCTCCTCTGCCCCTTACCAGCTGTGAGGCGTGCGGCAAGCTGCTGACCCTCTCTGAGCCTCTGTCCTCGCACGTGCCCCATGAGAAAACGTAAGCACGTCTGTTAGATGCTTAACAGCAGCAGAAACAAGCAGAACAAGCCGTGCACGGGCCACCGTGCTGTGCCTACAGCGAATCCATCGGATCCTCTCAACGCCCAGGGGTGAGCGCCACTTCACGCTCAGAGGCCCCGAGCCAAAGTGTTGGGGCCGGACGTGTTTCAGGAGCTTTTGGATTTTAGCAGCACGCTCCTGTCTCTACGGCAACAGGGTGCATATTCCCAGGAAGCGGGCAAAAGCGAAATGCGACGAGCCTCCTCTCTGTCCAGGCTTTGCCACCAACTAAGTTTTGCTGCCGAGCCTAAATCTTTCAGAAGGCTTCAGGTTTTAGAACGTTTGCATTAAGGAATCGTGGACCGGGGGCTCGTGGGTCGGTAGACCTAGTCCTCACCTAACGTGTGAGGAGACCAGAATTCGCGTGTGGAGCACAGCCTTAACCCCCGGATCTGTGAACGTGACTGTATTTGGAGACAGGGTCTCGAAGGAGGTGGCTAAGTGAACTTGAATTCACTAGGGTGGGCGTCTCATCCGGTCGGACCAGTGTCCTTGTCAGCAGAGGAATTCTGGATGCGGAGGGGAGACCGCGTGAGGACGCAGGGAGAAGACGTCCGGCTACAAGCTGGCACCTTGGCCTTGGCCTTCCAGCCTCCAGAACCATGAGACCCTCCATCTCCGTTGTCTGAGCCCCACCCCTCTCCCCCGGTCCGTGGCAGCTGGGAGGATGCCTCCCTGGCGGACAGGCAAGGGCCGGGCGGATCTCACCTCCAGACAGATGACGGGGCCCTGGTGCTCCCTGAACACCCGCAGCTGTTCCCCGCTCAGGATGTCCCAGGCGCGGATGGTGGCGTCGGTGCTGCCGGTGAAGGCCGTGTGACTGGGCGTGTCCAGCACAAGGCAGAGCACGGCGCCTGTGTGGCCCCGCAGCGTCTGCCAGCAGCCGCCGCCGGCCACCTGCCACACCCTGGCCGTGCCGTCCGTGCTGCCCGTCACCAGCAGCCCCCCGGCCTCCTCGGCGCAGGGGGCCCCGGGCAGGTCCCAGGGGGCGGAGTAGGCGAGGGTCAGCACGCAGTTGCGGTGGCCCCGGAACTCCTGGGACACCTGCCCCTTGTCCACGCTCCAGGCTCGAGCTGTCCGGTCGTAGGAGCCGCTGAACAGCTGGTTGTCGGCCACCAGGATCCTGGAAGAAAGAGGGAAGGGCAGGAGTCACACCGTGCAGGGCAGCCCCACGGCCCGTCCCAGGGGCCCTTTGTCTGCCGTCCCGCGTGTCCAGGGAGCCCAGGGAACTTCGTGTGGGAGGAGCAGAGGGGCCCCCCCGAGCGGGACGTGGCCACCACGCGCCGTCTCGTTTTGGTGAATGCTAAGAAGCCCTCGGAACATACACGTCTGTCTTCACGCGGCGCTCCGCGTAACGTCCCGGGCTCTGTCCACACACCCGCCCAGGGGAGCGGCTGAGGGAGCACCTGGAACCGGCGTGTGTGGCCAGTGTGGGGGCAGAGCGGTCAGGACCCCGCGCCTCACCCTCAGAGGCGCCCGGTGCTCCCTCTGCCGGCGAGCCTGGTGCAGGTAGGGGGAGGGCCGGACCTCGAGGAGAGCAGACGTCCCGCCCGCACGCGGCCCATGCCGGTCTCCGCTGGGCGGTCCTCACGGCCCACGGGTCATTAGGGAGGCCGAGCGCACCGTGACACGCGCTCTGTGTCCGACTCCCTTCTTCCCTGACACCCAGTAGGTATGGTTTTCATGACAGGCGTATCTCTAACAGAAAGTGACGAGTTGACACCACGTGGCATCAGAGGTGATGCCCTGGAGGCCTGAGTCCTGCCCCGTCGGGCCTGGCAGGAGAAGGCAGAGACCCCAAGGCCTGGCCGGTGCCCCACCCCCACCCCCGCCAAACGCACACACCCGGCCCGGCTCTGAAAACATGGGAAGAAGTGAATTCCACGTGGTGGCCCCAGGGATACTGCACAGTCGTGAGCACTTACTTCGTGATGCAATACACTAAGACTTAGTATCTACGCAGAACTATCAGGTTTTGTTTGTTTTTTTTAAGTCTATTTCTTTATTTTGAGAGAGAGAGAAAAACAGAAAGATCGGGGGAGAGGCAGAGGAGAGGGAGAAAGAGAGAGAGAGAGGGAGAATCCCGAGCAGGCTCCATGCTGTCAGCACAGACCTTGTCTCAGGGCTCAGACCCATGAACCGTGAGATCATGACCTGAGCTGAAACCAAGAGTCAGCCGCTTAACCACCTGAGCCACCCAGGCGCCCCCAGAACTATCAGTTTGGAACAGCAACCTCTCAAAAGTGGTGTGTGTGTGCTCAGCCTAAGCCTGGCAGACTAGAATTTCTAGCCTTCATTGTCCGGGTTTGCTTTTGAGGAGCAACTGCCGGGTTTGCTTTCCGGCAACAACCTGAGAGCAAGCTGGTCACCTGAGATGTGGCCTGTCCTGTCCGCCGCAGCCCCAGCCCCAGCGGGAGAATCCCGCACACCCGTGCTTTTCCTTAGTCACTAACTTTTTTTTTTTAATGTTTTATTTATTTTTGAGACAGAGAGAGACAGAGCATGAGCAGCGGAGGGGCAGAGAGAGAGGGAGACACAGAATCCGAAGCAGGCTCCAGGCTCCGAGCTGTCAGCACAGAGCCCGACACGGGGCTCGAACTCACCGAGTGGGAGATCATGACCTGAGCTGAGGTCGGACGCTCAACTGACTGAGCCACCCAGGCGCCCCATCACTAACTTCTTCCTCAAGGAAGAGCTTCGGGAAATGGCCAGCAGGAGGTATGACCCCCTCGGCCACCTGTGTCATCGGGGCCCTGATCCTCAGTGTCCGGACCTCACTTGCTCTAGCTAAAGAGGCAGAAGAATAGAAGCCCGGATGCTGGGGGTGCCCGGGTGGCTCAGTCGGTTGAGTGTCCGACTTCAGCTCAGGTCATGATCTCCCAGTTTATGAGTTCGAGCCCCGCGTTGGGCTTTGTGCCGACAGCTCGGAGCCTGCTTTGGATTCTGTGTGTGTGTGTGTGTGTGTGTCTGCCCCTCCCCTGCTTGTGCTCTCACTCTCTCAACAATAAATAAACATTAAAAAAAAATTAAAATAAATTTAAAAAGCAATGCAGATGCTGGAAGGCAGGAGGGCTCCCTCCGGGCCTTCTTCTCCACTCAGAAGCATCCTGAGCCAACACAACCCCCGGTCTTTCTACTGAGAGATGTTACCTGGTTCCTGCCGGGTAATAAGGTTCTGACCGCAGGCAGCACCACAGGCAGCCGGTACCCCAGTCAGTTAATGGTCGGTCTGGCCCCCCATTCCCTCCCACCGAGCCCTAAACCACTGGGCCAGTTTCTCACGCTGACCCAGCCTGTGAATCACACAAGCAGTGTCCCCTGTGACTGAGAACAGCCCTCCCTCTCCACCTGCCCTGGCCCAGCCCCTGACCCCTTTCCCTGACTGACTCAGCACACCCCCCAGGAAGCCCCCACCCCCATCAGAGAGGCCTCGAGGGCCTGCGCGCAGGTGCCCGTCCCCCCTGGTTATACCGGGCCCTCCCTCCGGAGTTTAAGACAGCCACCACAAGTTGCATAAATAGTGTCAAATTGATCTGATCAGCAAAGGAATTTTCACGGCTCAGCTCAGACCCAAATTCAAGGAAAACTTCCAACCTCCTTGAGAAGGAGGGGGTGGCATATTTCAACCACAACACAGAAAGGAGAGGTTTGAAACCACTCTGGGCTCTATCTTCAGAACCAAACCCGTTTTGCTCCAAAGCAAAGCCCCCGGTCCACCATCAGGTACCTGTTAAGCCACTTTGTCTGGAATTTGTTCACATCAGGAGGGGCCGTGGCCTCCAATGCCTTTCCCCGTGCCTAGCAGTGGGGCCCCCAGGTCGGGCATCCCTTCCCCGACCTCCTCCCGGACCCCCACATGCAGCCGGGGGACATCCGTCCTGAGCCTCCGTGGCCACGCGCTCCCGACGACCTCCGCGCACGTCCACGGGCAGGCCTCCCCGGCGCTCAGCTCCTCCGGGGCAGGGGGTCCCCGGCCACGCTGACCTGTTCACGATGGACGTGTGTCCCCGGAACACCTGCAGGCACTGGCCGGTCCGCACGTCCCACTTCCGGATGGTACAGTCAGCGCTGCACGTGAAGGCGGCCTCGTCCTCCAGGTGGCAGAAGGTCACGTAGCTCTCGTGGCCTGCGGACGAGGCGGACACGTGAGTGTTCCAGGCCGTGGCAACTCTCGCGGGGGCAGGGAGTGTCTCAGGCGAGTCCGGAGCGACTGGCCCTTTGCAGGGACGATCGACGAGTCCAGTCTGGGAGTCTTGGGAGCGATGGGGCACCAGGAGAAATTCAGGGGGCACTCTCCCTGCCCCCGATCTTTTTTAAAAAACGTTTATTTATTTTGGGAGAGAGAGAGTGCAGGGAAGCGGCAGAGAGAGAAGGAGAGGGTATCAAGCAGGCTTCACCCTGTCAGCACGGAGCCTGAGGCAAGGCT